AGGATCATAGATTGTTCCCCTGGAGAAGAGCTCAAGGACCCCTAAAGCCAAGCCAGCTCTGAGATGACCAAGTTCACACTGCCGTCTGACTCTCGAGTCCGCCCATCTTGTTACGCATATACCTTTCTGTCAGATGTATGCCTTTGGTACCTCCCCTTCCTATTGTGTGCATACCTCTAACTTGTACCCCTCATGTTATGTGTATGTCTCTAATACAACCCCTTCCTGTTACATATGTGCTTGTATGCCCAAGATTCTATATGCTGTGAGACAATACGTTACTGGCTCATTCTGGTTCCAGTCACCACCGAAGAGGTGAGCCCTGCTTGCCTTGTCTGTCGTTCCTTTAATGTACCCCTCAATGACACAACTGCCTCTTGGTCCTATTCAGTTGTGGGGAGGCTGGTCCCCCACAGGAATAGAAATACCATATGACCCAACAACTATGTTTTGGTTCATACCATACCGAAAAAACAAACACAGCACAAGCAAATGTTAAGCAAATGTATGTGCACCCACGTGCAGGTCAGCACTATTCAAAACAGCAAGAAGATGGAAACAATCTAAATGCCCATTGGCGGGTGAATAGATAATATCACTGTGGTCCTTTTACGATATGGAATATTTTGCATCATTAGAGAATAATGGTAAAACTCTGAAGCACTTTATGGCATGGATGGATTTGGTGGGCGGTACACCGAGTGAATGGGAGACATCATAATAAATGGAGAAAAGATTAGATTTGTCTTGTCTGAATCCACAATCCAATCACGCTCATGGCAGCAGCAGTCAAGAGATAAAGGGAAGCATTTTGTAAATCTGCTGCACAACACCTGGTGAAAGTGTTGAAAAGCAAGGGTGCCACCTTAAAGACTGGGGTGCACCTGACCCCAGTCATGGTGACTTCAATCACCTCTCATGCGTGTGGAAGTCGGACACTGAATGAGGAAGACTGAAGAAGAATCCATGCGTTTGAACTGTGGTGTTGGCGAAGAATGCTGAAGCACCGTGGCCTCCCCAAAAACACACAGAGCTGTCTTGGAAGAAGTACAACCAGAATGCTCCTCGGAGGCAAGGATGGCGAGCCTTCGTCTCGTGTATTTTGGTCACGTTCTCAGGACATCATGCTTGGTCACGTAGAGCGGCAGAGAGCGAGGAAAGGCCCCAACCAGATGGGCTGACACAGTGGCTGCAGCAGCAGGCTCAAACGTAAGGACCATCAGGAGGGTGGAGCAGGACCGGGCAGTGTTGCTGCGGTCGTACACAGGGTCACTGTGAGCCAGAACTGACCTAACTGCACCTAACAACGTTCTGAGGGAAGTACATCAGCCAACAGTGGACACATACTGCATGAGCCACTGACGTGGGGCACAACAACACGAAAAAGCTTTCATACAAAAAGCAACAGCTTTTGATGGTTACCAGGAGTGGGAGGGCCAGGGGGGGAAAGAGGAAGCAGTAGGCTAGTGGGTGGACAGGTGTTAAATATGGGAGGAGGGGAAGACGGTGCCACAAGGGGGAGCTGAGGGGCAAGGGAAGGAAGGCGAGCCACTGAGGGGTTGCTAAGTTGCTCAAGTTGTGGACTGCAAACATGGCCGGATATGTGAGTCCCTGCCTAATTCACAATAAAACGTTCTAAGATTTAGTCTCAGCAGCCCTGTACAGTCTCCCAGTTGGAATCAACTTGTGTTGTTTTTGCCAGTGAGTCAGTTCCAACTCAGTCAGTCTGTGGATTTGGTTTGAGTTTGCTGTTTATATTTGCAACAATAGAGCTTCAAGAAAGACAAAGAATAACCTAAACTAAAACAGTCATCGTGTTGGGGTGGAACACCCGGTTCTAGGTCACAGCTGACAGTCTTTCCCAGACACCTCCAGGAGAACCCCATTGTCCGTCGCGAGGTGCCATCATGTTGGTGCCAACACACAGCGACCCTATGTACAACACAAGCATGCCCAGTGCAGCATCATCCTCAACTCTACGTACAATACAAGCGTGCCCAGTCGGGGCCATCCTCACAGCGGTCCCTCTACCGGAGCCGCTTTCGGCCACTGCGTTGGTCCCCTTGTGGAGGGCCCTCTGCTAGGAATTTCCTGTCCAGTTTGCTTTTCCAAATCGACTTATTCTTCAAGACTGTCCAAATGCGAGTCCTTCCCCGCTTCCTTGGTCAGGCAGAGGGCTCTCCCCTTGTCTCGGTTTGCCCAAATCCCCCCCCATGCCCCTTCCCGTGGGAACTCTGCTTTCCTGCCCTGGGTACCAGACCCACTGATGGTGTGGGTGCACGCAGTGAGAGCATGTCCCCAGGGTGCTGGCCCAGGGGACTGCATCCTGTGACCCTTAATGAGCAGCATCTCCTTGCTGGCCCCTCCCCTCCCCTCCCCCCGCTGCACCCTGAGGGCATGGTCCACATTCTCTAGGGAATAGTCTCTCCTGACATGTCCAAAGTATGTTAACATTAAGTCCCATTCTCCTTGCCTTTAAGTACTTATTCCAAGACAGATGTTTGCCCTTTCAGCAACTCCTGGAATGTTTCCATGTTCTTCTCCAGCACCGCAATTCAAACTCATCAACTCTTCTTTGGTCTTCCTTAATGCCCAACTTTCACAAGCATATGAGGCAACTGAAGATACCATGGTGTGGGTCAGCTGCACCTTAGGCCTCAAAGTAACCTCCTTGCTTTTCAATACTCAGAGGTCTGTGCAGCCCACTGACCAAATGCAACACATCTCTTGATCTCATGTACTCTGTGACCCTAGTCGTCCCGCTTTCCCCTTGAACATAAAGTAACCGTGCCTGTTAGAGCGGATCACGTTTGACTACAGTGAACTTGTGTGAGTAGGCTCTGGCCTTGGATCGTATTGCCACTGAATTTTCATGAGTGCAGTGACCATGGCCACTGAACGGGTAGAAAGCTGGAGCCTCCGAGAGGGTGGATCCACTGCCCTCCTGGTAGGGCTGGAATGCCAACCCAGGGTAGGCGTCCCCAGAGGCTGAGGCCCAATCAGAAAGCAGGATCCGCTCCAGCAGAGGCCCTCCTGCAGCCGGCCCTCCTCAGCCTCCTCTCCGCAGGAGCAGTGCTCTCAGCTGGGCTGATGTGGGAGGAGGAAAGAAACGTGGACACCTGCGAGAAGCGCAGGAGCAGAAACCAGAGACGCAGAGAGCAGGTGATGGGTTTATTGAGGGCTGACTTTCTCTGCAGGCTGGGGGTGCCTCAGCAGCCCCCAGCCCCAAACAGACAGATACAACAACTAGGAATCCAAACCTGTCGCACATAAATAGTGGGAGGTCGGCAAAGGAAAAGGAGGTGAATGATAAACAAACTCGCACTTTCCTGTGTTCGTCTGACACCACGCTGGCAGCGCCGCCTGCACGCAGGCTTCCTCCTGCCCTGAACAACGTAGCCAGAGGCAGAAGGGACCCATGACACCCTCGGATCCAGCTGAGCAGTGCGTGGTCACCTTCCTGGCCACCCCTGCTACGGTCTCCTGGACTGGCAAACTGGGGTCAGAAAACCAAGATACGATCCTCTTAAAAAAAAAAAAGTCAAAAAAAAAAATGGTCCTTTGCACCCCCTAGTTCTGACAGATGAACAGTGTGACTCCCCAACCAACCAAAAGAACAGACAAAGCCCAGGCTGCCCGTCAGAATAAAAACATATTGCACATGGTTAATAAGCGTCTTCCTGAGAACTCTGCACGACAGACAC